GCCTCAATGCTCCTCACTTCCCTCAGCACCCTGCAACTTCAGCACAACTTGTACATCCTTCAAGTAAAGCTCAATTCCTCTTTCCACACCAAAAATGTCCCTCCACATGTCCTCTCCTCCAGGGTGACTTCGCGTCAGTGGGGCCCTTGAGAAGGTGGAACATTTGTACTCTCCACTATAGTAAGGGTGGGTCCCTTGGGTCTCCAGGGTCTCCAGAGGTCCCTCCACCCCCTTAGAAGACTCAATCCCCCTGGCCAATCCCCAGGGCTGATGTTGCCCTCCTGGAAGCTCCTCAGCCCTGGCTCACGGAGTGGGGATGGTCTGTCCCCACCTGCCTGCCCCATCAGCCTGGGACTCTTCAAGGACAGGACTGGAAGCCATGGCGTTGCTCAGATATAGCCCAGGTTTCCTGAGCAATTACAGCCCTGTCTCACCCAGTGGTCTATCCCGGCTCTTCAGCCTGGCATTCATGGCCCTGTCTGACCTGGATCTTGCCACCCTGACGTTTATTTGCTGACTGACCTGTGTTCCATCTCCAAACCTTTGCACACACTCTTCCCTTTGCCTGGAATGTCCCTCCTGCCTTGTCCTTCAAGACTCCAGCTCTAATATCTATTCTCTTTTTCAGACCTGGGAGTGACTGGGGTAAGGACAGAATGTGTGTGCACATGTGTGGTGGTGGTGGTGGGGTGGCTCACCTCCACCAGGTCCCAAAAGAACACCTTCCCATCCTCAGAGCAGCTGACCACGTGTGTGTCCCGCTCGCTCAGGCAGCAGTCCAGCTTGTACTCCTGGTTCTTATGGCCTGTGTACCTGCAGACGGGCAGGGTCAGGGGAGCTAGGCCTCACTAGGGATGGGGCTAGAGGGGAAGGGGCCCGACGGCCCTGGGGACTCACTCGCCCAGCAGCTCCCCCGTGTCTTTGTCCAGAAGCCGCAACGTGGAGTCCAGGCTGGACACCAAGGTGCACTGCCCGTCCCGGCTGAAGCAAATGCAGGTGATGGGGCCTGGTGGGAGGGGAGGGCTGGTGGGTGAGTCTGGGGCCCCCTTTCCTGCCCCCATCTGCCTGTCTGCCCCACAGCCCTGGGCCACACTCACTGCCCACGTAGTCTGAGAAGAGCTGTCCCATCCTCAGGTCATAACGCCTCACCCGGCCATCCACGGACCTGCAGGAGATGGTGGATCCAGCTTGAGGCATCCTGGGTTTCCCTGACCCATCTCCTCCCCTACCCAGGGCCCTGAGGACAAGGCTGGGCCCACGCTTCCCGTGCACCCCTCACTGCCATGAAAAAACGCGTTGAAATGAATTGAATTCATGAGTGCAATTTTGAAGCTTTGAGACTCAGACCCATCAACCACATTCCATTCCGTTCTGAAATCCATAGCCGCTTCCCAGTTTTTTAGGCCAAACCCTTGGAGTCTTTCTGGATCCTCCTTTTCTTGCACTCTCTAGCTCCTTCTTCTAAGTACCCCCAGAATCTGGCCTCCGGGTCTCCTTGCATCCACCCTCAATGCCTGTAGTCTCCTCCCCACAGCCGCCAGAGGGAGCACTTTTAAAAGTACAGTCACTGGGTGCCAGTCCCCCTCTCAAACAAATATGGATTCTGTTACTCTCAGAAAAACATCCAGTTCTTCCTGTGGCCCTTCACTGTACAATCCAGCCGCTGACAACCCCCATTCTCACCTCCTGCCCCATTCCTGTGTGGCTGCTGCCATCCAGCTGCCCCCAAAATGTCCCTCCCCACTTTGGAGCTTTTGTACTTGCTGTTCCCCCAGATCTCCCCCTGGGTGGCTTCTCCTCAACCTTCAAGTCTCAACCCTTACACAGCCTTCCCTGCCTCCCTGATGACCTAAAGTACCCTGAGTTCATTTCTCAGACAACCCCATCCTTTCTCTTTTCTCAAATCTCTGCTTGAATTACAGTACCGGCATTCGTTTATTTACTGATTGTCTGCTACACTAGAAAAGCTCCCAGAGGGCAGAAACCAGGTCTGTCTCATTCTCAGCCACGTTCCTAGCACCCAGTGTGGAAGGCTGGGTCAGACTGATCACGGCAAAGGTGGGGCCAGGGCTCACATGGCACCTGGCTGGCTGACTGCAGTGTCCTCCTTTGCCACTGGGGAAACAGTCACAGCCAGTTCCTCACAAGGCCATCAAGAAGATATGCTCAGATGATTCAAACATGTACAAGCATCTTCTGTACGCCAGGCTCTATGTGGGGCCCTGGGACATAGTTGTGACCAATCCAGGCACAGTTTCTGCCATCACAGAGCTGGCATTGATCGAGTGTGATCTAGGAGGGTCTCCCTGAGGAGGTGACAGCAGAACTGCAACTTGAAGGATGAGAAGGAGCCAGCACGTGCAGTCCTGTGGGAACAGGACTGGCCACACAGGCCAGGGAGCTCACTCACTCACTGTGATGGGATGGCATTCCCTCCAGTGGTGGCAATACTTGGGTGGCGCTGCATAGGGAATTTTTTTTTCTTAATTGCTTGTTTCCTGTTACTAGAATATCAACCCTATGTGGGCAGGGATCTCCCAAATTTGTTCCCTGCTATATTCTCAATGAATAGAAAAGTGTCTGGCATACAGTAGGTCCTCAAATACGTTTTGAATAAGTAGTAGAAGGGCAGCCCAGGTAGAGGAAGAGCAGTTGCAGAGGCCCTGAGGTGGGAGATGCTTGGCATGTTTACAAGGCCCACACGTGAATAAAAGCTGAGAGGTCAGCAGGGGCTAGCCCTTGCTGTGAGCTGCAATGAAGAGAGGAGATTTACTGATTGTCTTTGAGTGCAGTGGCAGCTATGCTTCCCAGTGGCCCACTCACCCTGCCAGGACTTCATGGTCCGACACCTTCACACTGGATATGCCATCCCTGGCCTCATTTAGTGTCTGCACTGGCTCCAGCCTCCTCGAGCGGCAGTCCCAACAGCGGATGCTGGAATCAATAGAGCCTGTGAGGCCAACAGAAAGGTGTAGTCAGGTTTGGAAGAGTGGCAACAGCACCCTAGGCCCCCCTGCCTAAGCCCCAGACTCACCAGATAGGATCACTGTGGCCTCTTCATTAAACTGTACGGTATTCACCTTCTGCAGAACAGGAACTGCCATTCAGAGCGGGCTGGGCTTTGGAGGGTTGGGATAAAGGCAGGGTTCCCGGTGCAGGTAAAAGCAATGGCAAAGGCTAGGGGGTACGGGAGGTGGGGGGGGGCTTTTGGGGAACTGTAGGGAAGGGCTTGGTGTTTGCCTGGCCATTAGGGCCATGGGGGAAGGGGAAAGATCCCTTAGGCTGTAACGTGGGTAGTGTGTGTGTGTGAGTGTGTGTGTGTGTGTGTGAGTGTGAGTGTGTGTGTGTGTGTGTGTGTGTCCCTGTCACCACCTACGCGTTACTGCTGTTCCCCTCATCATCTGTGTTCTGAGGATCTCCTCACTCGCACTTACCCCCGCGTGGCCCCGGAATTTGCGTACGACCTGCCCTGACGCCACGTCCCACAGCACCACGGCCTTGTCCCCGCCTCCGGAGCAGAGACTACTGTTGTCGAAAGAGCTGGAGGTGAAGGGAGGGAATGTCAGCGTCGACCCGTGATCTCGGCCCCTGCGCTCCGATGCCGCCTCGCCCTCAGCTCACCCGGCCGCGTCCAACACCTCGTAGCCATGGCCACTGTACGTCCGCAGCAACGTCCCCCGCAGCGGGTTCCACAGCTTCAGGGTCTTGTCGCTGCCGCATGTCAGGCAGTAATTGCCATCCACTGCGGAACACCAGGCAGGGGTTACTGGACCGCTGACTTCAGGAGGCGCGGGGAGAACCCGGAATGAAGAAGGCGCTCACCATTAAACCGCACGGCTCGCACCGCCCCCTGCCCGCAGTCCAGTGTCTTCAACCGTTTCTGCGGCAGCTCCGGGGCCCGCGGCTTTGGCTCAGGGAAGGCCATAGTTTCGGGATGCCTTCCTCGCTCCCTAATACTAATCTCTACCTAGGCTTCCAATCCTCGCAACCCACGCTTGGGTGTAACCTTATTATTGTGCCCCACGATCTACTTCCTGTTTCTCACTTCCAAGTTTCTCAAAATTTCTTCCTTTTGGACATAGTGTTGGGAATATAGAGGCCCGCTTTCAGAGTTTTCCCCCCACCTCCTGTTTTCAAGGACACTTCTGGCCTCTTCTAGTGCTCCGCTGGGGGAGTCCTGGCCCCCGCCGCGAGGAACGGAAGCAGAGGGCTGCCGGTGTTACTCAAAAAGCCGCCCCCACTTCCACGCCGGAAGCCGCAACCACATAACGGAAGAGGCGCTCCCTGGCCTTCCACTAGCCATGGCCGCAAACAGTATGTCGGACCCACGGAGGCCAAACAAAGTGCTGAGGTAAGGTCTCCTACATCATGGCGATGAGGCTTGGGTTGTGGTTTGTGGGTAGGGGTCCAGGGACTCGTCCGTCCTGGGGGTGGGACTTGGGTGCCCCTGACCCTTGAGCCTGCCGCAGGTACAAGCCCCCGCCGAGCGAGTGTAACCCGGCCTTGGACGACCCGACGCCGGACTATATGAACCTACTCGGCATGATCTTCAGCATGTGCGGCCTCATGCTCAAGGTTGGCGGGCTCTGTAAACCACAGTGAAAGACGTACTAAAAGGGTATGGCCTGAGTTTGCCCAGGGGCCAGGGCGAGAGTGTAGCAGGTACTCCCGCTAGGGGCAAATCAGGACTTGAATTTAGCCAAGGGGAAGGGCTGGGATGGCGCAGGTCAGGAAAGCCAGAGCCAGAGGGGAAGCCAGGGGGCGGAGCCGGAATGGTTACGTGGAAGGTCGGTCAGAGAGTGGGGCAGGCTTTGAAGCAACTTGGAGGGTGCTTGTGGCAAAAGGGCGGGGTCTTTATCTTCGGGAGCACATCAAGGGCCAGGTGTCTTGGGTCTGAGAGGACGTCCTCGGGTCAGGGAGTAGGATCGGGGACTGGAATAGGCTATGAAGGGGCGGGACCTGAGGGATTTCTGCTGACAAGGCCTGAGCTGTGCCAGATGGAATCAGTGGGTGCGAACCTGTGCTGGGAAATGTGGCTGGCACTGTCTGAGGCTTGCAGGGGCTCACTGGCTGCCTCTCACCGACCCAACCCATACATCCACTTACTCCTCCTATCCACTTACTCCTCCCCAGCTGAAGTGGTGTGCTTGGGTCGCTGTATACTGCTCCTTCATCAGCTTCGCCAATTCCCGGAGCTCGGAGGATACCAAGCAGATGATGAGTAGCTTCATGTGAGTCAAGGCCTAGAAAGAAAAGGACTCTGAGTAGGGGAAGGAGGCACTTAAGCCTACTCGTCCTGGACCCTAACTGACATCTCTCTCCCATCTCAGGCTGTCCATCTCTGCCGTGGTGATGTCCTATCTACAGAACCCTCAGCCCATGACGCCCCCTTGGTGATGGCCAGTCTAGAGGAGTCACATCCTGGACCCCCTCTATCCATCTTCCCTCAGGCCTGGCCTTTGACTGCTCAGCCTCCTGCCCTCAGCTGTTGTTTGGGGCTTCTCTGGGTTAGGTGGTCTCAGGGCTCTCAGCTGAATGGAGGGAACCTGGCCCTTTCCTTGGGGCCCCCCTTTGCTAGGGTGCAAGGGGAACATCCTAGGCCTACACCTGTGCCCTTCTCCCTCATCCTGCCTACTGCTGGTGGAAGTGCTGTCTATGTTTCTGGGCACTTCTTTTCAGGTTGAAATCAGTTAATAATAAAGTTTTTCACTCTAGCCTTCCTCTGCAACCTGTCTCCTGTGTCCTTAGGGGTGGCCCTCTCATGTGGGTAAGCCTCTAGCCTGGGATGGAGGCCCCAGTTTGGAACTTTTAGGTTTATTTATTTCACAAGTCTTGTTTCTAAAGTCAGGCGTCAGAGATAGGGCAGTGACCCCTGTCCTCAGCAACTCAGCAGATAGGCCTGCTGACCTGAAGAATCTGGGCTTTGGTTTTCTTATCAGCTTAATGGGATAATATCTGTAACCTAAATAGAACAGTAGGAATTAGGAAGGGCGTGAAGGGCTCAGGGTCTTTCCCCTACCTGTTAGGCTATACTCCAGGGGCAGAGATTAGACACCAGAGGACCCCAGGGAGCCCTGCCAACTGGGCTGGCTGCCCCTCATCCCCAGCACTCCAAGGGCAGTTTGTTTACCTGATGCCTGCTCAATCCCCACGGACTGAACAGGACCCCCATCAACCCCGATTACTAGCCAAGCTGGGTCTCTCTAGGATCCCAGCTCTGAAAGTACATGGGACACCTCTACGATAAAACAC